AGTACAAAGGGAAGTCTGAGTCGGTGGTAACACTGCCGTTTTGAAAATAACTATGGTCTTACACGTTGTTTTCATGAGAGGGAAGTCAGACAAACAATTTTTTTAATTCGGTAGATAAATTTTGGCCTAACTTGTTCAGAGAACACCAAAAACTGGAGAGAGCCCGACCTAAGTACTTATTAGCTAACTCTTTGATCACAGTCATCTGCGAAGAGCCCTGAAAAGCACCCTCATAACAGCCAGAAGCACGACTGAAATCTGTCATGTCTTGGAAACTGTCTACAACAATAAAACTGGTCTCTGTATCGACGTAAACGAAAATACGCATAAGGACAGTCATCGGAGTAGGTAAAATATAAAGTTTCCTGAGGTTGACTAAAATTACAGAGGGGCATTGGGGGATCTGTTTACCTACACCCACCACTTCGAGCCAACGTCTAGGTCATTTTAAGAAACCGCCTCCTGGTAGTATCATCAGTGTTCCTTCAGTGCTCCGCTGCCAAATAATTAAAAGAACCAGTGTAAAATATGATCTCCACAAAGTCCTTAAGAAATGCGCCCGGTAATTGTCGCATACATGAGACACGAAACCGAAAGTGAATATGTAGGTGGAATCTGTGCATCATTTTGAACTCTTATTCATTCGAACCGAGTTCTATTCACGCTTATGATTAAACTGAGTTCGTTCTTTATCGCGATCAGCTCCTTGGTACTGGCAGTACCTAAATGACTGGAAAAGGCCCTCTGGGAATCACGCCAGCCTGCTTGCTTGAATTCAGGCAGATTAACTAAAATCCCAGTGCGTTTAGTCGGACTTCCTCTGGTGCGTAACTTAGTGAAAATGGTGAATAAAATAATTTAAGGACCTATAGTAACTTCTAAGAAACACGTAACTTGAGAATCAACTCGAAGGGTTCGTGCGTACAGTTCAATTGAATACGGTCAATAGCTGCCAACGTTTTAAAGTAAATTAAAGGGTGTACGATATCTATAGGGACGTGGTTGACTATAGCTGGCTATCCTGTTAGATGTTTCTGTGGTTTTTCGTAGTTTATTTCTGTGCGACCAGGGATTAAAACATAAGAGCCAACAATCGCCTTCCCTTGCCGGCCTAACAGGTGGCCAGTGGG